GTGAAGGACCCCAAGGCTCGCAGTGGCCTGCCCGGTGTTCCCCAGGACAGCTCAGACCTCCCTCTTGCTGATTTTGCAGCCCCCGCAGCCAGTTCCAGGATGAAATGGACCCGGAGGATAGAGGCCTACCTGCGTTTCTCAGGAAGCGGTGCCGGTAATCCACCACCACTCGAGTCTTCGGGTTGTAGAAGCCGTCTCCGCAGTCATAGCAGCCGGGGGGGATGGTCCGAGGCGGGTCCAGGTTGGTCAGCTGGGAAATCCCTTGGAAAGGAAACGGAGGAAGAAGAGGGTGTGAGAAACAACAACTCTGGAAAAAAATAGCCCAGCCTTGACTGCTTTGCCCCAGGAGCCCTGATTTTGAGTTTTGGGGGGTCTCCCGATCAGAGGGGAGAGGGTCTGTCCGCCTCCCAAAGAGAGGAAGAGCACCAGTAATCCCATCATCCGGCTGACCCAAGCTGTACCTGCTGGCTTCAGGCCATTGCAGATTTCCGTGTAAAACCTTCGGTCGTAGCCATCACAGTAATGCCATTTATTGTCTTTGTATTCCAAACCATCAGAGAAGGTGTATTTCCCCTGCCAGGGCAAAGTCAGGGTTCAGGTTGAGCAGAACCAAGCTTCCTGTTTCTTGACTGCGTCCCCAAGGATTGCTTCTTTCCCTTCTCAGAGGGAGTGAATGAGCCTGCCTATCAAACTATTATAAATTAAAAAACTGTTTTATCAAACACGGGAAACGGGTAGGGAATGACCGACAAGGCGGGTAGAAGAAGTAAGACACACAAAGGAAAAGAGCAAGGAATGGTGTTTCTAAAGAGGATGGACATTCTTGAAGGACAGTTAAAGTCCACCCAACCGGTGGTCCTAAAAGGTCCTTATGGGACAATCCATTCCGGATCTTTGTTCAATGTTGTCTTAGCACACTCTGGTTTGTGGGTGTATGAAGCCCAGCACGCTTGGGGCTCCCACCCAGGAGGCATCTGCTGAGGCTTCAGAGATGGAGAAGAAAGGATGACTCCCCTTGGTAGGAAGAAGGCCCGGATGGGTCAAGATCAGCTCCCACCAGTGTGTCAAAGAGATTGTCGCTCAAGACCCCCAGAGGGCCCCGGTTGAAGCCGTACCTCAACGCAGATGCCTTTCTCCCAGGTCCCTTCGTATTTGCTTCCGCTGGGGAAGTACAGAGTTCCTTTCCCGTGGAACATCCCGTCCTTCATCTCGCCCTCATACTTGGTGTCGGTGGGGAGGGTGTAGGTCCCCGTCCCTTCCAACCTGGGGGGAGCCCAGAGAGAGTCAGGCATCCGTCCTACACCTCTCTCCAACCACCCAGCCCACACACACACCCCGTGCAGCCCGTCCAGGTGGGGGCTTCATCCTCATGCAAGGGAGCAATAGCCTTTGCATTGCCCCCCCCCCCGTAATCATCACATATCAAATGTGGGGGGGGGGTTAATGATGCATTACTCATTGGGCCTATTAATAGGCAGGGATAACGCTCCCATCCCCCCCACCCCACCCCGCAGAGCAGGTTGCTCTTAAGAGAGGTATTAATAGCACCATCGAGGCAGACTCTGCAATCTTTACGGGCGATTATGATTTATTAGCGTTGCATATTAATAGACCGTCTGCACTGCATGTCCCCCCCCCTCCCCAGTCTTTACGGGGAGGCGTCCCCTCAAGGCCTTCACGCGAGGCGCCCTCCTTTGCACGTGAGCAGAGGCTTCCCGCGGCTACCTCCCTCTAACACGTTTGCACGACCCCCCCACCCCCACTTTAGGAAGGGGGCGGGGGTGGGAGGTAAATGGCGGTTCGTCAACGGGGGGCCGCCCCGGCCCTCCCCCGACCCTGCGTGCCCGGCGCTACCCGGGAGCGGCGCGTCCCCACATGCACCTGCCGTTAACTCGCTGCCCGCGGTAGTAGCTGCCCGTGTACTGCATGGCGCGAGTCGCCGTCGCCTAGGCAACGAGGGGCGACGCCGGAGCGGGAAGAGGCGTGGCCGCGGCGGGCGCCCCGCCCTGTGAGGGAGGAGAGGTCGGAGCGGGGCGTCTGCGCCTGCGTGGCGCGGGGAGCATGCGCGGTGCGCCCTGAGTCCCGGCGGCGGCGGCGGCGGCGAAGGGGAGTTGAAGGTGCGCGGCGTCTCCGGCCATGCCGGGCCCGGTGGAGGTTCCCTCGGTGGAGGAGCTGGATGTGCCGGAGGTGAGCCGCCCGCGCCCCCAAGGGCGATCCCCTGCTCTCAGGGGCAGCCCGGGCGAGTTTCCCCACCCGCGTGACCCTCCGTGACCTCTGACCCCCGAGGAGTTGACCTCCCCAAGCCCCTCTGGAGGGGGGGGTCAGTCCTCCCCAGGGGGTCAGTCCAGCCCTGCACCTGCAGCCCCCCCTTCCCTTGAAGCCTCCTCCTCCCCCCCTTCAATAAATAAACAAATATATAAACAAATAAATATATAAGTAAACAAATAAATAAGCAAGCAAGGAAGCATTTTTTGCAAAACATCTGCCCGTTGCCTGCAGTTCCAGAGCTTGGATTTGGGTCCTTCTCCTAGCGTGGATCTGAGAATCCGCAGGAAGGCTAGCCTGGCTAAGATGGGGGGGCCATGAAGTTTACAAGCAAACACACAAGCAAAAATAAATAAATAAATAAAATTTAACACCCCCCCCCCCCCCAAAAAAAAACCCCATTCATTACCTGGGACTTCAGAGCTTGGAGTTTAGTGCTTCTCCTAGCATGGGGTTTGACAACCAGCAGGAAGATTGTATTTGAAGGGGGAGAAAGGTGGGAGGAACGGAATAAGAATTGATGAACAGCCAGGCTGGGCAATCTGGGTATTTATGAATTTATTCGTTAGTCAAATATATATAACCGCCCATCTCACCGAAGGCATGCACAAGAAGAGATAAAACTGCAGGTGCAAATATAAAATATCGCAGTAATATTAACATTCGTAAATAATTATTCATTTTCTTAAATGTAAACAAATAAATACTCTAAATATTGTAGCCCAGTCTCTCTTGAGAGCCCCCTGTTGGGGAAGAGGAGATGAGCAGAGGCTTCTCAGGGTTTTGATCCCCCCCATCCCCGTCCCCTCTTATATCACTGAAATGTATTTATTTATATTTGTTATAAAATGTGCGTGCCCTCGAGGGTCTGCCAGATGGCAAAGGTGACTTCCTCGCTTGCTCCTCAGCTGGCAGTTGGCACCGCAGTCCTGAAGGCGGGTGCCCACCACTATGGCTCGCAGTGTGACCGGATCAACAAGGAGTTCATGCTGTGCCGTTGGGAGGAGAGGGACCCCCGGAAGTGCTTGAACGAGGGCCGGGCCGTGAGCAAGTGCGCCGTGGACTTTTTCAGGTGAGCCTGGCTCTGGGACACGGTTGGGAGGGAAATCGTTATTAATAAAGGAGGGATGTTTGTAGCTCAGGGTTGAAATGAAAATTATTATAGTTTGCCACATAGTCAGCCAGATATTCAGACTGGATTTGGCATTTTAACTGACCTATTGAAACCTCCCCAAGGACCTGGGATAGGCAGACGTTGAAGTTTTAGGATGTTAGGGGTATCGCCGCAGGAGGGAAGCTGTTCCAAGCAGAGTTGCCTTTTGCATTTGACCGATGGTGATTTTGTCAATGCCGATGGTGGTCATATAATAAATTAGTGTGGTTTATTGCACAGTCAGCAAGTATTTAGACTGGATTTGGCATCTTTGTCCACTTATTGAGTCCTTCCCAAGGTAGGCAGACGTTACTGTGCTCCAGATGTTTTGAGGTTGCACCTATGTTCTTATCCCACCCTGTTCCCATGTATCTTGGTACATGACTGCATTTCGGGATGGTTTTCCAGCCTTTTATTCGCTTAATCAAACGCAGCCTCCTCTGGTTTACAGGCAGGTCAAGCTGCACTGTGCCGAACCCTTTAACCAATACTGGAACTGCCTGGACGAGTCCAACATGTTGCAGCTTCGGCATTGTCGGGAGCAGCAACAACTCTTCGATGACTGCGTGCTGGACAAGCTGGGCTGGGTGAGGCCAGAGCTGGGGCAGCTGTCCAAGGTAACCGAGGACCCTCCTTGTCTCTTTAGGGCGGGTGCTCATGGTCAGTGAACCAAGTGCTTCTTGCTCCTTTCCCACCACCACCCACTTTTCTCTAAACGAGCAGGAGTCTCCATGTAGATTTGGGCTCCTTTTCTGCTCCTCTTGTAGCTGTGTGGGCCTGCAAGTTGCACAATCCAAAAAGTTGTGGCCACTTTATAGAGGATACTTTCAAAGCCCGAGGGGATACAGGGGAGCCTTCCTGCTTCCGTGTCTCATTTTATTGTGTGGCTACGTTTTGGGGGTTGCCTCACAGGGTTGCATAGGCTTCTTCCTGTGTTGCACACTAAACAAGCCTTGCCTTCTGGGGTGTTTAACAGACGTTTACCTGACTTCCACTGCACGTTTTCCAACTGAGCAATGCAGGAGATCCTGCGGTCTTGACTGCATCGGATGTCCAGCTGCTTCTGTGTCCCCCCCTGCTCTTTCCCTCGGCTTCCTTTTCTAAAATGTTGTCTTCTTGCAGCAAGATCTTCCATTGTGATTCTTCCCTTTGCAGGTCACTAAAGTGAAGACTGTCCGTCCCATACCTGAGAACCCCTGCCATTCCCAAATGAGACCAACAGCCAACCCATTGACTGAAGGCGAGTACAAGCCTGCGAAATACGGTAGCCGAGGCTATTTCTGGAGCTGGTAGGAGAAAGAAATCACACCTGTGCAGGTACACCAGCCACTACACGAAAACAGGCTTCTTTGTGGATTGTAGATTATTCTCCTCGATGTTGGATGGCTCTTATGTGTACTCAGCGGTCATTAAATACATATTCTTTAAAAGTCCGACTTCTCATGCGTTCTGTCGTGCGTGTGCGTGTTTGTTTGAAATATACAGGTAGAGAAATGATCTAACTCTGGAATAAATCTTTATGGGTAGCAATAAGGAAGACCAGCCTTTGAGTTGTCCCGATGTGGTTGCGTTTAAGGACAATATTATGGGTTTCTTAATACCCCTCTTCTTGGGGCAAATGTTTCCTCCTTGCCTGCTGATTTTTTGACTTCCTGAGTGTTGTCTCAGTTATTTTGAGCCTTGCTCTCAACCCTTTTCACACAACCATTAATCTCAGCCTTAAATTCGGGAGCCTTGATAGGGTCTTACGATCTATGGTGACATTACATTCACCCAGTGAAGCCTCGTATCTATATCTCCTGCTAAGATTCAAGGTTCTATTTCTGTGAATCTCCTCATCCATTTTAACTGACATTTGACTTTGAGCTGCCCTCAATCTTGGTTCCCCGATCCAGGGGGGGGGGGGGGATGGGTTCCCTTGTGCTGCTGAAAAATGTCCTAAATTTGTCCATCCAAACTTATACGAGGAGGCTCTGTAAACCGATGTGAGTTTGTCAGTCTGCAACACCTCTTGTGGCCAAAGCATCATCAGAGGCAGTGGGCTAAACCACTTTGAGCAGAGATTTGGACCAGAAGATCTGCAGGGTCTCTTCCGACTCTGTCATTCTGTGCTCTGTAAATTTAACCAAGTTTAAAACAGCGTTAGAAAACTGCAGGTGCACTTTAGGGCTTCAGGGTGCCTTCCCTGGAGATAGATAGACCTGCAGATCTATCTTACTGCTATGGGCACATCAGGGCTGGGGGAGAAAGAAAGCGGGTGAGAACACCAAAGTCTTAGCTGGAACACGAGGGGAGGCTGCCAAGAGGCAGCATTAAACTCAGGGTTGGTTGCACTGGAGACTCCCTGAGGTTGCGTGGTTGTACACATCAGCAAACAGTTGTCGTTTCTCCCAGTTCTGAGAATATGAACTCCAGCTGTGCCGTCAAACTCCTCGGCTGAGGGAGACCAAAAAGTCTTGGGGTAGAAGTCTCGGGCTGACATAAGCAAGCTGGACTGCAAATGTTTGCCTGATTTCAGTAGTTCTCGACCCTTCGAGGGCGCGTGTCAGTTCCAGAAATACCGTTGCGTTGTTCTCGTCCTGATCGTAGATCAAAACACCAGAAAGAACACAGATCAGGGCAGAACCTGGAGAGCATAAATAAAACACAGGCGCTTAAGGATCTGCTTATAGCTGAGATGAAACATTCGGTGCGCACGCACACACACACACACACACACACACACACACACACACACACAGAGAGAGAGAGAGAGAGAGAGAGAGAGAGAGAGAGAGAGAGAGAGAGAGAGTCCAATGTCCTTAATATAATATGCATTTGCCTCTCTCTGTGTGTGTGTGTGTCTTGGCATGATTATTCCTCATTATTTTATGTATATATTTATACGGTTTGCATCCTGCCGTTTTGCCCGTAGGTCATTCAAGGGAGCCTTTTCTTTGAGAAGAATTTCATCCCAGAGGAATAGTTTGTGGGGCTTTGAAATCCCCAGAGCAAACAGTCTCTTGAGGATCTGTTTATTGGGTGGGGAGGGGCTTGGCTCCGGGATTGGGATCCGCACTCCACACCAGGGTTCAGGCTGGAGCCCCCCCCCCTTCCTGCTGGGCTTGGAGACTCAGGGCTCGCTGCTCTGCACATGGGGAGGGGGGGGGCCTGAAAGCTTTCCCTCCCTCCATCCCTGTTCAGAAGAACGAGGCCATCCTCCCACCCTACAGATGCTGTGGGGAGAGGCCGGGCATCTGTTCTGCTGTCTCTGTCCTAGGTGATTTTTTTTCCCCCCTTTCCTTCCCGAGGTTGACCTGTGTGGAGGCTGCTGCTGACCCTTTGCCTTCCTGTGTTTAGTCAAGAGGGTGGGCTGGCCACGAGCTCCTGCAGCCTCACCCAGCCCCACCTTGGGTGCGGTGCCTTCAGGAAGGGGCACAGGGCTGGGGTCAGGACCGGCTGTCGGTAGCGGTTGGTCGCTTTCTGATGGCTGGATGCCCGACCCACCCGGGAGTGTCCCTCAGGTCCTCTGGCTGTGGATAGACAGAGCTCAATTGGTGTAACTTAAGGTCTTCTTGCTCCTTGTTGCCTAGGGAACCCCTCCAGAGAGGAGGTTTTATGCCTGCTTCCTGCGCCCAGGGTCTCCTGTTCTAAAGAAGACCCCTCCCCAAAGGAAAGCCACAGTCTGGTTTCTCTGTCCTTGCCAAAGAGGACATTGTGAGACTCTGGAGAATCAGAACAAGGTGGACCTCCAACTCTTTAAGCGGCGCTTGTGGCCGCAGTGGGCTTGAGGGCCTCCAGCGTGGCACCTACAGATGTTTTGGGAGCAGGGGGCCAGGGCTCCAGTGGGGTGGCCTTATATTGGAAGGGCCAAGCGATTAGAGGCATAATCGGTGATGCTGGAGACCAAGGCAGGAAGCTAGGCAGAGCTCTCTCGCCAGCCACAAGGAGACAGTTGCTGGCTGAGGTTCTGCCAGGGGTGGTTCTTCTCTTGTCTTTTCAAATCTCAAATGATTAAAATGGGTTGATTTCTCGTGGTTGCCTTCCTTCAAAAGCTAAGCCACTCAGGCCAAGAGGGAGAGGCATCTGAAGTGGGGCACCCTAACCCGCCCTCTAACCATGGTCTGTGCAGAGGGAGTGAAGCCCTAATGTGGCTTGCTAGCTCTGGCTTTGTAGGTTGGGTGAGCCTGGCTACTTCAGCAAACCATGATTCCCCAAGCTGCAATCTTGGTCTCAGGATCACGCAGCCCAGAGGAGAGCAGCCTGGGTCCCAGTTTCTGAATCCTGGGCTTGCAGCCGCCTCCTTCGCAGACCGGCTCATTGGGAATGCAAACCTTGACCCTTCTGGAGAGCTGCTTTTAAAAGAAGGAGGGGAGTAGGAGAACTGCCACCCCCGAACGCCAGCGGTAATTCATGTAGTAACTATGGCAACGGCCACGTACATTTACATATTCTTCCTCTTAATCACGGGGGCCATCCAAGACAACTCTTTGCCAGTTCTTCCGACATAATTTGCTGTTTTCGTTTACTAACCAGAAGATGCCACCCATTGGGCCTCGTCGTAATTCTGAAGGCCCTGGGAGGCCTTCCTACTTATTGCAAAAAAAGCTGGCTGTTTTTCCCTCCCTGGACTTTCCCTTCCAAAGTTCCCTGGGGTTTCCTTGCCCAGAAAGCCAAGCCCGCGGAAGGAACGGTCAGTTTCCAGGAGGTGAGTTGCCATGCCTCAACATGGCATAATTGTTGGGAATGGAAACAGGAAACCTCCTTGGTTGGTTAGCCAACCTGGCATAGAGATTGGAGACTGGCACTGGGCGATCCACGTTCACCCTCACCCTGGAAGTGCCCAGGCAGGAACACGGTGGGCAAAAATGGGGCGTCTTGCAACCCTGCCTGGAACTCCTGCAGAAAAATCACATCTAGCAATCTGCGCACGCTCAGAGCAAGATTCGGCTGGCACAACAAGGGGGCAATCGACTAGGTTTGTCTAGCTTGAAATGGAGGAGGGCACCTTGCCTGGCAGTGTGCTGAGGGTTCGGGATCTTGCGCAGAATTGGCATAATTCAGGATAATGTACCCTCAGCATTTCTTGAATGAGAGAGCCTGGGGAGGGGAGGGGCTTAACCGAAGCCACAAAGGCAGCTCGGCCCAGTGCCAGGACTGCGTGGCAGGATTTTCTCATGCCATCATTGCAAAGGAGAGCTTAGTGCCATCCAAAGGGGTGTCATGATAGCCGTGTTCCAGTATCTCAGGGGCTGCCACAAAGAAGAGGGAGTCAAGCTATTCTCCAAAGCGCCTGAAGGCAGGACAAGAAGCCACGGAGGGAAACTCATCAGGGAGAGAAGCAACCTGGAACTAAGGAGAAAACTCCTGACAGTTAACCAGTGGAACAGCCTGCCTCCAGAAGTGGTGAATGCTCCAACACTGGAAGTTTTTAAAAAGAGACTGGACAGCCATTTGTCTGAAATGGTATGGGGGGGGGAACGCAGTTGCCTTTTGGAAAAAGCACCTTTGGGGCAACCATGATGATTGAGAATCACCATAGCAGGCAAAGGTGAGCCAAATCTGGGCTGCCTGCACACCTGGCAGAGGTACAACTTTGCTCCCCCCCCAGGAAGCAAGATACGAACCCATCACCATATTCTCCATCCAGTATCCCAAAGTGGATACCCTGATATTGTCCTTTTGGGGTGCAGCCTGTCTGATGTTGTTAGGCAGCCTGCAAAGTTCTCTGTGTGGATTGTGTATTTGTTTTGAAAAAGAATTTGCGGGCTGGAACTTTCCCCCTCTGCTTTCAAGGAGTGGAGTTGAAAGGTCCATGCCATCTGGGGGCCCCGGCATTTGCCCCCCATGTTCAGTGCCAGGCAGACGCTTTCTCACCCCCTGAAGTGGGTGGGCAGTGCCAGCCCTGCAGTCCCCTGCCGACAGACAGGGTCGCCTCCTCCGCCCGGCCAAGGCCTTTGCCCACCCTTGAAAATGCAAGCTAGCATGTCTGGGCGTAAGGCGGCGATGGTTTCCTCCTGGTTTGAAAATCCTTTTCCTCACATTAATCTCTTTTTATTTTTATTTTGACAAATGCATGTTTCCAGGAAGTTGCAGAGGTCAGCTCAGCATCTGTTGCTGGTTATGCTGCGCCGAGCGGGTGGATGGGTGGGTGGGGGCCTTGGGAGAGGACCCTCCTCTCTTGGCGGTTTCCAAAGCGACGGGGAGAAAAGTCATTTTTAAGCAAGGACGGAGGAGCTAATGAGGGTGATGAAAATCGGAGGGAGGACTCGCAAAGTCTCTGGGAAGTTGGATCGATATTTCACAAGGGGGTGGACCCTGATGGGACGGCTGATCGAGAGAGGGGGAGATGCCCACTCTGGTGACCCCAGAGACAGCATCCCAAAATCAGGGTGGGGGAGAAGCCCAGACTTAGACCTAAGTCAACCCAGGTTTTCTCCCCCTGGTTCCCTGT